TAAGTTCATAGAAATAAAATTGTTACGATTATTTCTCCATAGATGGCGCTGAATGTAGTGTACTCTGGTACCTTGTCTAGAGAAACATTTGTGTCACACTGATAAGACATTCGATATCAGTCCATTCTATTTTAGTCCGTGATTAAGGCCCACACATGCTGTGGTAGCAGCAGTCGCGATATAACGCAGTTAGACATATTTACTGCTGCTGCTCCAATGTGTGTCAGCCTTAAGCAAACTTTATTAAAATCTGAATTATATGTGTAYCAATTTTAATGAAGAATCGCCAATCCCGTCCTTAAGTTTTTCATTCAGCTCATATACTTCACTTAAGTCGGAGTGTAATACAGTAGAGTCCCGCTAATCCGGTCATCGCTAATCCGGACATCCGGATAATCCGGACAATTTATGTTTCGTATTTAGTACTCATGTATAATATATATATATTCGGGAATACCCATAATTAAGATATGGTTTAAACTTATCGTTTCGATTAGGTACATATGTATTGTGATATTATTTCATGTATAATATATATATTCGGGAATACCCATAATTATATTATTTGTGATATTATTTCGTTTAGTGGTGATTGTGTACCAGTGTAGACCGTTCCGTTTATTTTTTCCTCTGCTTATTATAAAAACAACATAAAATTACAACTTCGGTTAAACGTAAAAAAGTGACTRTAACAATGGAACAAAAACTCCAAGCTTTATTTCGTATTGATGCTGGTGAATCATTAACAAAAATCGCGCAAGAGTTAGGAGTGGGTAAGCAAACCGTTTCGGATTGGAAAAAAAAACGAATAGAAATTGAAAATTTTTGTGCGAAAATGGTGAGCGCGGACAGCTTAGGTAACAGACGCACATTAAGAAAACCAAACAACGAAGCTTTAGACGAGGCTTTGTACATTTGGTTTTGTCAACAACGTGAACAAGGAGTTCCGTTGTCGGGTGTTACGTTACAAGCTATCGCGATAAAATTTAATGAAAAATTAAAAGGAGATCCTACTTTTGCTGCTAGTGTAGGATGGTTGTCTCGGTGGAAAAATCGACATGGCATTCGTGAACTTGGTGTAAGTGGTGAAATTTTATCAGGTGACAAGGTTGCAAGTGAAGACTTTAAAACGAAATTTGAAAAGTTTATTAGCGATGAAGACTTAATACCTTGCCAAATATTTAATGCTGACGAAACTGGGTTGAATTACAAAATGCTTCCAAAACAAACATTAGCCTCAAAACTAGATTCTGTAGCCAAAGGACATAAAGTGAAAAAAGAACGAGTAACTTTACWTCCTTGCAGTAACGCTTCTGGTGATTTAAAATTTCCACTTTTGGTGATCGGAAAATCAGCTAAGCCTAGAGCTTTCAAAAACGTTAATATGAGTGCACTTCCAGCTCAATACACTTCACAAAAATCTGCTTGGATGAACGGAAACATTTTTAAAAATTGGTTTTTTGAAACATTTGTGCCTACAACAAAGACATTTTTGAAACAGAAAAAACGGGGTTTTATCGATTCCGCCGTTTTAATATCAATTCCGCCGGCTATCGACTCCGCCGAGCTTTTTTATTTATTGATTCCGCCGGCTATCGATTCCGCCGAACTTTTTTATTTATTGATTCCGCCGGCTATCGATTCCGCCGAAAATGTATTTTTAAATCAATTTTTTTAAATTTTAAATATAAATATTTCAAAAAATAATTCAAACATTTTTGTAAGTAAAATGTATTAAAATAGTAAAATAATGATATAAAATTTATTTAGTTAACGCCAAAAAAGCAAAAATA